CGCCTACCTCGGCTGCCCCAGCTCCCCCCCGCCTACCTCGGCTCCTCCCCTTCCAGCTCCGCGGGTTCACCCCACAGAGGTGCCAGCCCCGACCCGTGATTCTCTTACCGGCAGTCGGCCTCCAGCTCCTCCAGGCAGCAGGGAAGCGCCAGGAGCTCTAGGATGTGCGGGGACAGGCTGAGCTTCCGCCCGACCGACAGGCTGCTCATGGCTGGGCGCGGAGGCTCCTGCCTCGTCTCCACTAGGGAGTCGAGGAGAGCCGCAAGAAAGGAGCTAAGCGTCCGATACCATGGCAACTAGCGCCTCGCCCCACCTCCCGGAGACATTATTGATTGGAGGCCGGAGACGCGACGTCACTTCCGGTAACAATTTGGGACGAGTGGAGAAGGGGCTTCCGAAGAAGTCACACTCTGAGCAGCGGCGATGCAATCTGTGGAAATCCCCTCCTAGCTGCTAAGTTTCCGCACTTCACCCCACATAGTTACTCCCCCACCCCCTCCGGGACACCCGTAATAACCCCGCCCCACAGACGTCCACCAGCCTTTCCATTTAACTTCAGGGACGTCAGGCAACGCAGGACACTTGCCAACCTCTCCACACCAACCAGATTCCAACTCCTCCTCCTGCAGTGACACCACTCCCATCTATCTGCCTCCACTTTCCAGTGACCTCTTCATACCTGCCAGCCCTCCCTCCGAGGAACACTCCGGCCATATAACCTCCCTCTTCTAGTGTCCACCCTACAACTAACCACAGCTCCCACCAACTTTGCCACCTACCCTCCTCTCACCCACTGATACCCACCAGCCTACCAAAACTCAGCTGCATCCCCCTCCCACTTATGTGCCTCACCCACCAAGCCACCCACAAAAGCCCCATATCCCCAAAGATGAACACAAACACCTCCCATTCAAGGGCTTACCCCCAGCAACACACATCAACCCTTTCAACCAGCCCCCTCCCCAACAGTGACACTCATTACCTTCTTCTAATCACATTCCCTCCCTCCACAGCAACACCCACCAAACCCCCTCCTCCAGTGATATCTACCTTCCCAGTCATCTGCTTCCCACTTCCAGTGACACCCATAGGCACGCGCACTCAGCTGCCAACTAAACACAAGCATCTACCATTTGAGCTAAAGGACAAACACTGTCAGCTGTGCTAAGACTAGGGTTTATGTCTTTGGAACAGGTATTTGAATGTTATTGTCACAAACATTTGAGCAAGTTTGACGTGCCACGTACTAGGGGCAATGGTATATGTTAACCAGTATGTATATATTATTTCCAGTTAGGTAAAGACATTTATCCTCTAGTAGCTAGAATTCATAGGAGTTCAGATCCATCAGTTTGGCCCTAATGATAATGCTAATGACAGTGGCTGCACATTGGGGACAGAACAGGTGTACATACATGTTATGTAGTATTAAACAGTAAGAGTAGTATATGATGTTATTTATTTTATAGTGCTCAGAAATGTGCTAGGCTTTTCACAGAAGATTTGCCTGTTCCAAAGAACTTACAATATTAATAGTGAGCATGACAGGTTTGTGAAGTTATGACTTACACCCAGAAGGAAGGGGTGAGGAAAACATAGTAACCATCTTAAGCTTGGTTTTAGGCATACACATGTTTTGATTATTAAAATATATTGCAAACACTGCTTGTAGGCAATGTTCAGAAATGGGTATTTTCAAGTGACTTCAATGAGGTTATGGTGGAGCCTTGACAGACAAATTTTAGAAGGTTGTTCCAAGAATAAGCATTACCATGAAAGGATATAAGAATAAATGGGTATCAAGACTGGCATAATTAGCAGAGGGGAATATAAAAGTAGACCAGATCAGAGATGTAGATAGAGGCTGCACTATTTTGGACCTTGAAAATAAGGATGGAAGTTTGAACTTGGTGCACAATGCAGTGGGAGCCAGTGAAGCATCTCAAAGAGTGGTGTTGTGGTTACAGGGAAGAAGTGAGGGATTATTCTAGTAGCAGTAAATTTAAAACCAATCTTGCATTCCTCCATTTTTTTTGAAAAACTGAGATGAGAAGATGGCTAACTCATTCTTTAAATATATCCCACCTTGACCTTAGCAATCAGAAGGAAACGTGGAAGGAGAAGCAAAAAGATTTGGTACCTGCCTACATGTTGGAGGAAAAGGAATAAAAAATGCTCCCCAGATTATGAAGTTGGATGATGGGGAGGATGAAAATATTATCAGCTATTATGGATAATGGAGGTAGTAGAATACACATTTTCATTGTAATAACTATTTATTTTTATATTCCAGATTTTAAACTGTTGATAATGGAGGAGCATTTCATCTTGTGTTAAGTGCTCTTTAGACTTCCTTACAGTTCCCCACTTGACAGAAGTACATCAGATAGTATGGGTTAATTGGAAAATGTGTGAAGTATAATATTAGATTTGTAGTGCCTTTCATTCCTAATAATACCAAAACATTTTGCATCTAAAAATCACTTCAGCTTCCCTTGAATTCACACCATTTGTGGGATGGAAAGCAGCAACTGTTTAACAATATCTCAACACTACACAATTTTTAAGGAAAAGAATTGAAGAATCACTTAAATATAGGGTTGGAGAGATTAGATTTTTATCAGTAAATGTTGGTAAACGTTGATTTCAATATGCATACACAAATGAACAAAAAATATTTCCATCTATAATAAATGCTTAAACATAAATATAGAAATACCTGTCAAAATTATAAAAACATAAAAATTGAATTCTGCCAAGCCTACTTATCTCATAGAAACCATAGGGACTTTTTATATAGGCAGAATGTTATTACTCAAATATATTACATTTGTCAGGATTAACAACCCTGTCCTTACAAACAACATGTCATAGAATCTTTATTGACCAGGAGTGGTCAGCACCTTGGTTTTCTTTGTTCTGAATAAGTCACTATTTCTAATATTTTGAGTGGTAAATGTGCATGTGGTCATCATTTTAGGGGTTCATTTTCAAGTCTTCATGCACCTAGGTTTTCAATCATGAGAATAATTGACTGGATTGTCATATGTAATCTAGGCAATACTTCATTTTAAAAACACAAATATGTGGAAAGAGGTACAAAAAAGTCAAATTAAATATAAAACGTAAGCCTTATATTATTTTGAGCGCAGGTATGATGAGACAAAGCTGTGACTATTATGGTGGTGGTATTATTCTAAATACAATTGGTAATGAACGATAAGGAATTTTGGAAGGAGATTTCACACTACACAACCTGAATCACTATTTGGCATCTTCATACGTTGCTGTTTACTTCCATTCAGTACTGAATGGGAAGTTATATTGTTAAGTGGTATACCTATTGAATAATAGTTTGAACTGGTTTGTTATAACTCTCAGCTATTCAGCCTTAGAAATATTTGAGATTAGGAGGATGATAGAGAAAACTGAGTAAAAAGCAGAAATTGGTGCTTTGTTTAAAAAGGGCATCAGTGAAACCTTTCCTGTGGGACATTCTCCACCAATAAAAGTCTATATAGCAGTGCATTTTGTTCTAAGGAGAGCTGCCTTCTCTCCTTCAAGAGCAGGAGGCCTTGCTGTAATTGGTAATGGGACGGGGCAAAAAAGCATCAAATGAAAAAGGAAAATTTGACATAATTATGCTTGTGATGTGTGGGTATGGGTTTCTTTGAGGGGTTTGGTTTTAAATCACAGCTTTCTTAATCCTATATTTAATTTGGTTACAAAGTTCATTAGGGAATTTAGTGTACTAATAAGAAGTGTGTAACAAGTTCTTCAAATATGTGTCACTATGGATTCTACTGTAGGTGTGCATTGCACCTCCTCATGCACACAAGCTCAGAATGTTTTGAATACTAGCATCTGGCAGAGCTGTGCATAAAGGGCGGAGTGGTCTTGACCCTCCCTCAGTTCCTGTTTATCACCTGTGACAAGGAGATGGAATCTGGACTGTGTCTGACCTGTTCCTGAACTTCAGATCTCTGTTTCGGTGAAGAAACCATCTTTAATTCTTTGCATTAAAACTTTGATTAGACTTTTGGGCATTCCCCCCCACAAAAAAAAACGAGCAGGATGAGACTGTTTGGACCAACTGCTAACTATGGTGAACTTGAACCCCACTGGGTGTAAATCCTGTCCTCCTTTTGATGCCTGAATGCCCTGAATAGATGGACACGGCAGATGCCTGGTCTGGATCAGGGAGGGTCACATCCCCAACTAGTGTTCCTTCTGCCACTCATTCTGTTCCTGCACCAAAAATCCCAAGATTTGAGGCTCAAGATGCACCTCTTGGAGAAATGCATGAAGGGAGCATCCGATCTAAGAGCAGAGACACTCTCCCTCCCAGAACCAAGAAAACTGTCTTCGTCAAGTGCCCCAACTACTAGACACTGCACCTCAGGTTTGAGCAGGGAGAAGAAGCCAAAAAGGCACCTAGACTATTGGGACCAAAACCAATATCCCTGATGCTGATCATGCCAACCTCGGTACACAGAGAGAAGGGCACTCCCACATCGAGCACAAACACAGCATGGAGCAGTCAGTGCAACCATCCTACAGAGAGGACTCAAAGCTCAGAGAGAAGCCCCTGAAGTCCTCAGCATTGACAAGGGATAGCGCCAAGGCACCAGCAACAAAAAAGACCCAGGAGATGGTTGCACCAGTACAGACATCAACAGCAAGATTTATGCCAGTATCAACCCTAGAACTGGAACACTTCCCAGCATAGGTGCTCACTTTCTAATGTGCCCGGTGGGTGCTCCCACCCAACTCTGCCCCAGACCCTACTCTACCCCTTACCCCAAGACCCCACCCCCTCTCTGCATCTTCCCACCCCGCCTGCACCCCACCATTTCGTGCCCTGTTCCCATGAGCACGCCCCGCCCTCGTTCCTCCCCCTCCCCCCCAGTGCCTGCTGCATGGGGTGGAACAGCTGATCATGGCAGGCAGGAGGCACTGGAGGGGAAGGGAAGGTGCTGATAGGGGGACTGCCAGTGGATACTAAGTACCCACCATTTTTTTACATGGGTGCCCCAGCCTATGCCCCACGTTTCATTTCCTGCTTTGAGAGTCCTCATTTACCATGGGCTTCAAACTGCAAGGGAGGATTGGGGCCACTCCACCCTTTATGCCCTTGTACGGGAACACAAGGAGGCTCAGAGTGATGCATGGCCGGGACAGACATTGCTGTTTCCAAGCTCAGGCACTT